TGGAGCAGATGAACCCCACGTGAAGCAGAAGCCAACGAGATGGAGACCAGTACAGAAGACGAATTTGTTACGTCTCCGTTTGTTAATTAACTTTCCGTAACATCATTCCGACGAAACTTTAGCGACACAAGTCCTTACTTAATAAAACTGGTTTATTCTTTCTGAATATAACTTTACCGATACACTTATTTTCAACAGTCGCTCTGTAACAAACGTTTTAACAACGAACGTTAACTTCAACAATACGTCTCTCTCTGACTGCAGTTCAATTACTCATTACCTACACACACATTATTCTGTCACGTTGTCACCCTCTTTTATATACCAGCCTACCCTATATCTAGTAAATTCTAGAGCATTCGCCAAGGTACAGGATAGTTCTAGAAAGCAGGGGCGTGACACCAGTCACGTGACCTCGCTAACGCAACACTATTCTTTTCCGATGATTGAAATATAATATATATAAAAACAGTTGTCATTCTGTTTTTCAGGGGCGTAGATGGTGGGGCCACAGGGCACGTGCCCCAGTATTTGTAAACAACAGGCTAAAAAGTTGACACAACATGTTTTGATGTTGCAACGGCATCATCAGGAGTAAATTTTAAATATTGATAATGTCATATTTATACCTTGGAAATAAAGTAGAAAAAATATCTTGAATTATTAAGTAGCCCATGTATTGAAAATTGCAAAGACAAAAGAAAACTGCTCGACATACATAGAAACACAGAAAATGCACTACTTTGGACATATTAGTAGATCTGAAGGAAGGTGGGCAGAGATGGTGATGAATAAAATCTAATAAAAAGGAGCGAGAGGCAGGCAGAAACTCACTTGTTCTATGAAGTTAGAAAATGAATTGGAGAGGCTTAATTAAATTAGAAAAGTTGATGCAAGCAGCGAGGGTTAGATAACAATGGAGAACCATACTCTTCGACTCTCAGATTGGGGACGAAATCCTGGCTGATCGATCGATTGATAATAACTATTTATTAAATAGTTGTATTTAAATGTTATGTTTAATAAACTTTTAGGTTATAAGGTTTCTATAAACCGATTTGTAAATTCATCAAGAAAAATCAATTCTAAATAATAAAGTTGAAAAATGGTAGATGGCAGTACTCAAGGTAAACAGCTGTGTAAACTGTTATTAAAATTTAAAGTTGATGTGTGTATTCGACATGTAGTTCTAGTTTAGGTTTAAATACTGTAGGGATATTAAAAGATTAAATGTTTAACTTATATTTGCTAATTTATGAAAAAACATAAAATTCATATATAAACTTTTAACTTGTGTGAAAAGTTATGGAAGTGTTGCTAAGTGACGATTATTTTATTCTTGTTGATGGAGAGCACACATTATGGTGCAGTAGAATTGACGGAAAACTTACTCCAAAATCGAGGCAAGGTAAATATTGCATAAGATAAATGACAACTTGTAAGCCTAAGGAGTCGTTTTTTGTATATTTTATTATATTTTGTAATATACTGTGAAAGAAACTTCAATACAATTATAATATAAGAAGTAATGAATTACAAATTATATAGGACTTTCTAATATGTTTTATTTTTAATTAAAGTTTAACGATTATAGATGGTATATGTTTTTTCTTTATAAGGAACCAATTTATAAAACTTGTATCGATTATTTAACATTTTAAGTCTTCCAAGTTCTATCCATGTAAAACTTTTTACTCTTAAAACTCAAATGAGTAAAGAAATGCCAAAACATAATATTAATAGATTAAACCATGGGCAGCATTATAATTTGCAAAAGTAGGTTGCATGTGTAATACTAGTTTTATCATTAATTTCCGTTGCTTCTGTGCATAAGTTAAGAGTGGCATTTTATCCCTCTTCAAAGTTTCATATTAAATCAATTTTATTTCATTTCATCAAGTTAGGTCTCCTTCCTCCCGATATAACATAACATAATGTTTTAGGACAACAAGAGCCCTATTGGTCCATCTCGCCGGTCCTATCCTCTAAAGTAAACAAAAACTATTATATAATAAATTAAAAAGAAATCTTAAAGCCAGTCCTTATCATTCATATAGTCATCAAGTTTTCTTTTAAGCTCATTTAAATTTACTGCCTCCACAACACCTGAAGGCAACCCATTTCAAAAACCAACCACCCTGTTAGAAAAATACAACTTTCTTAGCTGAAGATGACTCCTACCTACCAAAAGTTATATTTGTGTCCCCTAGTCTTACTATTTTCACTGTTTAGTAGGAAAAAAGATGATGCATCAGCACTATCAGTTCCGATTACAATCTTAAACACCTCAATCAGATCCTCTCTAACTCTTCTTTTTTCAAGAGAAAACAATTTGAGAGATCTCAACCTCTCCTTGTATGACAACCCTCCATTCCAGGCACCATTCTGGTAACTCTACCCTGAACCCTTTCCAATAATTCAATGTATGTCTTAAGGTAAGGACCTCAAGACTAAACACAATACTCCAAATGTGGTCTAAACAGTGACCTACACAATAAAATTATAACATTTTTAGACTTGTATTCAATATTTCTGTAAAACCATTGTCAATTCTAAAAAAAAAAAAGACTACCTAACCTTATATTTGGGCTAATGGCCCATCTATTTGTTCAACCTTCTGCTAGCTATTACTATAATCTTAATTACACATATTGTCCGGAACTTCTTTTTCTATAACCATCCATGATCTTTCAAAATAAAATACTCATTCAATCCATACTTAAACTTCATTGGTTGAATCCAGGATTTAAATTAAGCTTTGAAAGCTATCAAAAGTATTGAAATGGAGAAAACTGAGAATTATAGCAAACAGAATAATTTTTGTGGATGATGTAGAAAATCAACAAGAATTTGTAGGTTATTTAAACTGTTCAATGACTACAAATAAATTAGTGCTGTGGATGATGCTAATAGTAAAGCTTACATAATTTTTGGGTGTATTTCTGGTAATGAATGGAATTTGTTAATCGACTAATCGTAGGGCTGGTTAATTTATTACATTCAACTCATTGATTATTTTTGTGAGAAAATACTAGCAATTCGAAACATTCATTTCGATTAGTTTATTATCATATGTGACACACAAGCCAATGTAACTGATGCTCATTGTATGGTTCGCATGCACCCTGGAATTCCTGGAAAATCCTGAAAAAAATTGTGATCCTGGAAAAGTGCTGGTATTTGTATAGATGTGTAACAAAGAATATATGTTTTTTCTTCACAGCTATAAAATATAAATAGTACACTAGTTCAAAATTCATTTGTAATATTGCCAGTAGGCCTGCTATACACAAAAAGGGTTTTTAGATATTCCCTGGTCCTCTGGTTGCATGAGCCCAGTTGAACTCAACTAACGGTGCACATGTTGATCTTTCATGTACATCCTTGGACCTTAATCAAATGCTTGAGTAAACACTTAAAATTCTGATGTCAATTGTGTTTTTAATAATTTATGGGTAGATAAGCCATAATATGCCAATTGGCTGGAACCTGACAAAGACTCGAAGTCGAATGTATTTTGTAAGATGTGCAAGAAATCCTTTGATGTGTCAAATATGAGAGAGCCGGCAGGCCGAAGTTATGCAAAAGGAAACAAACCCATGGAAATGTTGAAGAGGAAACTGTGTGGTGGCTTGACATGTACAATAAAACAGTTCTATTTGAAACAGAAAACAAGACTGGACCTAAAAGTAAGCATAGTTTCATGAAGGTTAATTTAATTTGTGATTTTGGTGATTTAAGCAAAAACTCCTGATTAATAAAATTAATGAATAAATAAAGAAATATTATAAACAAATAAATTGTTTATCAAATCCATTGTATATATTTTGTTTATCCAAAATAGCTAAGTAACTATCAGTATAAGTACATAGACCTATTTTTATTATTTTTACTATCTAGTTTATGACAATTAATTTTATGAACAAATTAAAACAACATAAAAATAAATGCATATTTATTTTAATCATGAATAGTATTGTGCTATGCATAATTTGAATGTTTTTTTTTTATAGAGCCTGAATCAGAGACAGTAGGAATTGTGGAGAATGAGACTGGTAAGACATCAACAGCAACTTGAAGAATCTCAGTTTCCTCATATGTTAGAGGGAATGATGTCCCGTAAGCTGAAATATAGTGGAAACTGAAAACTGGCATATAATTCATGCAGTGGTCTACCAAACCTGTTTAAATATATGTTTCCAGTACCACTGCTCAAACCTTTGCATTGTCAGAAAGGAAGTGTTCCTACATGACACAGTTTGGATTGGCTCCCTATTTCAGAAGTTTATTAATAGAGTGAATGTCAATGAAGAAAAGTAGAAACTTTTTGTTATTATTTGATGAGTCACTAAACAGAGTCACAAACTTAGGTAATCCATTATATTGATTAGTCAGGTTAATTGCCCAGCTCTAATTCATAAGCATACTGATTACTAGTCAAACGAGATAATTATTAATAATTTCTATACAAATTTAGATTTCCAGAGTGAAAAACTGGAACATTTTCATAGGGAATGACACTGTAACAGCTCTGACACAGTTAAAACTATAGTAAAACGTATCATTTTCTAAATAATCTAATTTTTAGATACATTTGACAGTTGTCTAATTATTTGACAAATATTTCACATGACCATGCCATAAGCGTGGCTACATTGGTTCATTGACACAAATCCTAGCTACCAGAATCAAGGAGCATGTACAAAACAGCCCTTCCAACAACTCTGGAATTTACAACCATCTAAATAAAGACTGTAGCAAAAAAAACAAACTTCAAACACTTTAAAATAATAGACTCAGCAGAAGATGAATGGATGTTAAAGAAAAAAAAGAAGCTCCCTTAATTAAAAAAACTTGACAACAATGCTGCATCCCAAACTATGATTAACTTATCATGCCTGAAATGGTCAAAGAATGAAAACTTTGAAACCTTTGCATAAAGAGTTATTTTGCAAAAAATAAAAAAATGTGCTTAAGTTGTCTTGAATGTATTAAAAAAAAAGACATGTTGCTTCTTAATTTTCTTTTTCACAACAGGGCAAGTTTTAAATCTCAATTCCTGCAGCTGCCCTATGACAGGTTAGGTAAAGAACAAGTAATCTGTCTTTGTTGACTAAAATTTAAAGGAACCATTTAGGTCAGAGAAGCCAGGACAATTTAATACTTTTATTTTTTGTGGTTGGGACAAAAAATAAGGCTAAAAGTGGGATTATCCCAGGAACTGTTTACTCTTGATGAAGGCATAAAGTCAATATTATTGAGCAAATAAAATATCTTGTAAGATTCTATGGTGTTCATGATTATTTTGTTTATTTGAGATTGTCCCAGTTTTACTTAGATGTCTGGTTACTCGATGCAAGCCAATTGTTAGACTTCAATACAGCTTTGGTCTCCATTTCTAAGAAAGATTTTTGACTTATTGGAAAGGGTTCAGAGGAGGGCTGCTAGGATAACATAACATATAATTTAAAGACAAGGGACCTGTTGGCCCATCTAAGCTTTCCTATCCATTAAGCTTTAAAAAACCCATAGCCAGCCTACATAGTTCAAATGTTTACCAACCCTTACCTTAAATTTATTGCATCCACTACATATGCAGGCAAGCAATTCCAAAGGCTAACTACCCTGTTAGAAAAATAAAACTGTCATCACTGAAAATAACTCCTACCATACCTAGTCATACCATTTTGACCATTAAGTACAATAAAAGACAATGCACAGACACTACTAATTCCCTTAACAATCCTAAAATATCTCATTCAGATTCCTCTAATTCAGAGATTCCAACCTGTCCTTGGTCTCTTGGTTGGTTTGTTGCTGGGATCTTTTGGAGAGAGATGCATTGCTTGAGGGAGCTCAACTTCCTTCTTCTTCCCTTAGAGGTCTCAGACAAGCTCCTTTTCTCAGGCATTCGATTTTTGCAGGTATTCCAGATTCCATGGAAACTTGGGTGGATGTGGCCCATCTCCACTTCTCTTTTGACACTGGCCTCTTGCCTTTCCCAGTCTTCTACCAGACAGTTTCCCACATCTTCCATTCAGGTTTCCATGTTGCCAACTGCACCAGAGATTACCCAGAGTGTTCTGGTCCAGTGGGAGCTTTACTATATTATATTGTTACCATATGGCAATCTTTCATTACAGTACCATGGGTTCTTTGGGTTTTATCAGAGGGACTTGTCATCCAATTCCTTTCCCCACCTCTATTGTCCCTGTTACCTTCCCCATGACTTTGGATCTTGCCACCAGCTTGGATCTGTCCGAGGTGGTACAAGATATTCTGTCTCCACAGGCCATTGCACCTGTTAATCATCTTTCTCCAGGCTTTTATTCCACTAATAGAAAAGCCCTCTCCTACCTCCACCAGATGGCTTTGTTTTGGATTGTAGTTGACTTGCTGGTGGTAGGA